AAAAATCGGGTTGTAGATCTAGATAAGAGCTGTCGCGGGCTCTCCGGCTCCTCCTCCCTGCTTCAACGTTCCAAGACATAACGTACTTGTAGAAACATGGCATCCTCCCCGAAAGCAAGTCCGTCAACACGGTCTACTACGTCGAAGCGGTAGTGAGGTGCTCGCACATCGTGCGCCTCCTGAAAACATTTTTTTTGTTCGCGTCTTTATTTTCCCTCGACAGGAAGCAACTACAGCAGTAGTACTAAGTGTTGTTGTTTTCTTCACATTGAAAAGACGTTCGCATCTATCTCCGCTCAACCTCGCCCTATTGACACGGACGCCTTTCTTCCGTGGTAACATTTTGATACAACACGTACGTGAGAGAGAACCAGGAGTAGGGTACACCCAAACCAACATCTCAAGTACGCCATCCATTTATTGCCGTCATGGCAATGTACACCAAGGGCAAAGTCACCTGGAAAGCTGTCCCACGAAAACCCGCTTTGGTCCGTGGCTCGGCTGGAACCCACATGCGCAGCCGTCCCGTCTTCCCCAGGCAAGAAGACGAGAAGTGAAAAACATCACGTGAGTGGGATCAGCAACGCAAGGGCTCCGGCAATCAAGAAAAACGAAAAAAAGCACAAGTGTTTTCCGGTGTGACCTGCCCTGCCCGAAACGTGAACACGCCAAGCGCCGCAGACCGAGCCACAAGAGCCTCAACGATGCAATCATCCCAACATGTGGGGGATCACGATATAAGCGGGTCACACACGACACTTCGTGTCCATTTTGTTTTCTTCAGGAAGTACTCAGGAATTGAGAGTTTTTTCTCACATGTTCTGCAACTACGGGTAACCCCTCGCTCATCCTTCAACTAACTCCCCCTATGGAAAATTCAAAGAACGAACGACCTCAACGACGACTACAACATCAACAACAAGACCTCGACGGCAACAACGTGTATTCCCACCTCTCTCGCCCTGTGCTCCAAACGAAAAGCCACAGGCTACTCTGCAACGAACCGGGGGGGGGCGGGGAGGCGCCAATCAGGAACGGCGAAGATCTTCAACGACCCCGAAGCTCTGCGGTGGGGGGAGCGTGTCGACTGCTGCTGCTACTGTCGTCGAGTGGACCGATCTTGTTGATCGTCATACGCCAACATGAAACGCCCTCAGCTGAAGAGCCCGTTGGGCAGCCCCGCCATGCAGCAGACGGTGCGCGCGAAGCAGAAGAAAGGGGCGGGGGGAGAGGGCACCGCCTCCGGGACCGGTGAGACTCTTTCTTGTCAGCAAGTTGCTGCTGCTAATTGTTGTTGTTGTTGTTGCTGCTGCTGCTGCTGCTGCTGTTTACTGTCATCGTTGTCATTGATGTTGGTGTTTATGTTGGTTGCTGCTGCTGCGGCTGTCGTTGTTGAAGCTTGTTGCTCGTGTCGTCGTCGTCGTCGTCGTCGTCGTCGTCGTCGTCGTCGTCGTCGTCGTCGTCGTCGTCGTCATTGTTGTTGGCTGTGGCCTGATATCGGTGTTGTCGCCTTCTTGGTAGTCGTCGTCGTTGTTGCCGCTACCTCTGCTCTTCCTGTCGGCATGTGTCTCGATTGCATTCCTCTTGACGTGAAGATAGAGGGAGGAGTAGGAAAGATCTTCGATGCTGGCAGAGGACGAGTGTCCTTTGGTTGCGACTGTAGCTGTTGCTGTCGGTTACCCGCCCGTACCGGACTATTCTTACCCTTGACTACTACGACAAGGAAGTCGAGAAAGCCACCTCCTTCCTGTGCATATGTATCCCCTATCCCTAGCACTCTCAGCTGCCTCGCACCTTGAGCTTTCCCACCCGACAACATGTGGTATACCACACCATCGTCTGTCGAACTTCAGTGCAGTACCGCGTGTTGTACGCATACACCCCAAAGAACTCCTTGTTTCAACAATACCCCAGCACAGATTTTGCCCCAAGTCTGAAAGACCCACCTTGCTTGGCTGTCCTCGCGGCCGCAAACCCTGCCACGGCCAATGTTGGGCTGGTGCTGGTGCTGGTACCTTTTTCTTGCCGCCGCTGCCCCCGGTCCTCATGCTGCTACTCTTGTCGCTACTCTTTCGTTGCTTGCTGCTGCGGGTGTTGCCAATGCTGGGGTGGATCGCTCTGCGGGACACATCAGGCGGGAAGGCGGCTGCTGAGCGAAAGGCAGCGGCAAGAGCCTGGTAAGACGAACTTTCTTTGCGGAAGAGAAGCGCCATCTTTTTCGCGGAAAACAAGGACGACTCTCGGGTGCAACGTTGGCGTGAAACGCTTTATGGTTTCATTGTTGTTCTCTACTGGTCGACTGGGCTAGTGGCCTCGGAAGCCGTGCCATGCGAATCCACGCATAACATGAAACAACCCCGCAAGTAAAAGTGGACATGCTGGATATCGACACGAGTTACAATGTGAAGAGATAGCTGCAATAACTGCTGTACGCCGGACTTCCTTGAGCCTTGTTTTAGAGTATAGAGTCTCTCTCCAACCCTCCGCCTCTCAGGCCAAACAAAGCGGCTTGGTAGTTTATGGCCCCCCACAAACACGAAATACGACAACGCTTTTAACGAGAATGTCCTGGGTTGCTGGGTCGATGGGAACATCGGCAAACCGAGACATGTATAGAAGGCACACCACTCTGAAAAGGAGTGTTGCAGGTATGAATTTTCAACCTTGTCGGGCTGTGTCGGTTTTCTCTCCCTCCTTTTCTCAGGCACAAAGGCACACCGTTGTGAGCTTGGTTTGTATGGGCAGAGCTTGATCGGCATAGGAAACCTCCCCCCCCACACATTCTCTCTCTCAGCTTGTATACACCTATGCTGGTGTGAAATAGTATAATGTGGCACCGCTCGATGCTCCGCTCAATGCCAATCGTTTATCGAGAGCATTGGAAACCATTCAATCATTGGAAAACATTCAATACCGGTCGTTTTTTCATTGTGTGTCCACTTGTGCTGTGCTGCAGGGCAAGCACTGCTTTCGTCTACCGCTCGCTGCGTGGTCGTCCTGTCGTCGCCGCAGTCCCGCCCCTCTCATTGATACCGACTCCACTTGTGCTGCCGTTGTCATTGCTACCCTTACACGGACCTCGGGCACGCCAGGGAAGCGAGCAACAAGAGACGATCAGTCCCTCTTCCTCCTGTGGGCCCTGGAATCGAGGCGAGTTAAGGGTCAACACCAAGCACGCGCAAACGACTCCACAGATTTTGTGGCCGTCTTCTCGAAGCCGCTAGGCCGGCCGTGGGTATTATACCATCGTCGTTTTGGGTCAAGCTGAAAATGGTTTTACCAGCATGCCGAACGCCTCTTTCTTTCCCGTCTACATGTACATAGGCCAACCCACGTGCAGCGGTACCCAACCTGTTCCTGCCACGTTGTGGTTTCCACTGTGTCGTACGGATTTTGCGCTGCACAATTTCAAACGTGTGTTCAATTTTCAATGGTCACCAACCTTTGAACCACCCCCTCGCCCTAGAGCTACACCGAGCAGTAACCACGTCACCCCGTCCTACCGAAGGGGAAATCCTGGAAGCGAGGTTGATGCGAAGCAGGCAGGGGTGCGCCGGAGGCGATATCAATTTGTCTCATTCCCATAGCATAGCAACTCCGTGCCTCGAAGGCCTCTTTGATGACCAACTCCGAAACATGTCATTTCTACCTGCCCCAACCCTTGCGGTTTCCCTGTAGTCATCACTACTGTAGTTTGCTATCCAGAAGCGTCGTCATTGTGCTTGGTCGATACTGTAGCAACACCAGCTCCTACTCACCTTGTCCTCTTGTGGTATACGCCAATACGATCTGGATGGATCGTTCTGGTGGAAATACGATAGCACCGCCCTTTTCTTCTACTTATCTCCTTGTTGTCGTGCCGCATCCGCTGATACACGCTCTGGACCGCCCTGATAAAAAAAAGGACACAACACTCTCTTGTGTTCACCACCTGGTTGCACCCACTAACAGTACACTCTGGTTCATTGCGATGGAAAAACTCTGCTCTACATGTGTCTTTCACTTCTTTTTGCACTGGTGCACCCTCCACAGGTCACCGCCGCGGAAGCCATGATCCTGGGTGCAAGGTGGGACAGGGAGATGGACGAGATGTTGCGGGAAGGGGTGCTTCGCTACGGTGCCGATTGGGAGGAGGTGTCGACCCACATGGCGCCCCACGAGTGCCCCAAGGAGGAGGTGGAGAAGAGGTACGGACACTCGTAAGACGCAGGAAAAACTTTGTTCAAGCACTGCTTTGAAAGCCTAAAAAAATGTTGCTTCTACCATGCACCCTTGAAAAGTTCATGTTTTGTACCATACGTATTATACATCGTAGTATCGCAGGGTATACTCACACGGCGGTTGTTTGGCATGCGACAATGGATCGGTAAATATCGTGCGTGGTGATGCGGTTGGAGTGGAAGGGGAGGGAGGTTGGGCTGCTCGGGGGTGGGGGGGTGGGGGTATGAACTCAACAAGTATCTGGTTTGTAAACCAGATTCACAAGTTTCAACCTATGGTTTTCCCGGTTAGATATAAGATGTGCCCCTGCAGCGCCCGCACCAAAGGCGGGGTGACCTCCACGACTGAACGGTAGCGAATGGAGCCACCGACCATCACCGTGTTGAACGTCGACAATCACACTTTCGACACCGACCTCTGAACAACACTGCATGGTGTAACGATGAAAAACGTTTTAATGACATCGAAGGTGGAAATGGTGAAGGACAACGACTGAGCTCTGAACTACACCGCAAACACGTAACAATGAAGAACGCTTTAGGGATATTTTAAGGTGGCACATGGCCAAAGCCAACCGTCAACAAACGAACTTTGACCCCCAAGCTCTGAACAACACTCACTGCAAACATGTACCAATGAAATACGCTCAACAACAGGAAGGTGGCAAATGATGGAAGCCAACCCCGCAAACAATCGGACTTTGGACACCGAAAGCTCTTAACAACACTGAAAATATTTAACAAAAGGAAACACTCGACAACAAAATTTGAAGGTGGCAAATGGTCAAGGCTAACCCCGTCAAGGGTCCGTGGTCTCCGGAGGAGGACTCCCTGCTCAAGGTCCTCGTGGACGAGTACGGCAGGAAGAAGTGGTGAGACTCGCTGGTCCTATCCACAATAGCAGCAGGCCCAATGACTACACCCCCCCCCACCCACCCCCCCAAACCTAGAAGCATTTGTGCCCCCGTAGCCTGGGCCGGCGAAAACCCGGCATATCGCTCCGTCCCGGCATTATAGGAATACGACGTCTACGGTCTAACGACTACGGCATGCACGGCTATGAGCATCCCCCTTGTCCTTGCAGCCCTAACCCCCGTCCTCCCCAAAACTAACGGCATCCTTTCTATAGGAGCTTGATCGCGACGCAGTTCCCGGGAAGGTCTGGCAAGCAGTGCCGTGAGCGGTGGCTGAACCACCTCGACACCCGCGTAAAGAAGAGCGCCTGGACGGGAGCGGAGGACGTGAAGCTGTGCGAGGCCCAGGGGAGGCTGGGCAACAAGTGGTCGGAGATCTCCAAGCTGCTCCCTGGACGGGCGGAGAACGCCGTCAAGAACAGGTAGGTAGGCTTGGTCTCGTGCCTCTTGTGTTTGTTGTTGTTGGCTATTTTGTCCCGCAGCACAGAACCATCAGTGTCTTTGCTTTTCTTGTTTGTTTCTTCTCCGAGCAGCTTTCGTTGTGGGCTCCTCCATAGGAGTTGCCGTCAACAGAGGACGTGGCCTTCTACTTGTGTACGGTATGAGAAAACAAGATCGCTTTTCCTGCGCGATGTCATTTTTTCCGTTTCTCTCTTGCTCTTAAGGCGATTTGATAAAACTAAAACAAGCCCAGTATCCAGCAGGTTTTTCTCGCCTCTCGAATTGCACGAAGAGCTCAACGCATCCGTTTGATGGGAGCATTTCCCCCAACGGGTAGTGGTATTTTCGTTGAAAAATGCGTCGTGCTTCCGTCGTACTTTTTTCTTGTCTCCGCTCTTGTTGCCCTAGGTTTAACTCCATCATCACCAAGCGCCTAGCGTCACAGGGTATCTCTGTCAAGGGCAGCGGCCTCATGAAGGCCAACATGGCCAAGGACCTAGCGGCGAACGGCACCCTCTCCCACAGCATGAACATCCTCAAGAGCGCCGACAAGGAAAAATTGCTTCAGCAGCAGCAACGGCGGCAGCAGGGGAGTGGAAAGGAGAGCGCCAAGCGTCAGGCGAGAGACTCACACCAGTAGTAATAGCGCTTGGACTTAGCGTGCGAGTGTGCGAATCTCGCTTGACCGTAGGACTGGAACTACGTGGCGTTCGTGTTGAGGTGATATCACTGGGGTAGTTGGTGGACATCGCATCGCCCCATCTATTCTGGCGTCAGTCTATGCAGTATATGCTTGACATATCTATCACCCGGGGTCACACATGAGGAAGGTCGCACAAGGGGCTCTGTATTGTTTTACGCTGTTAGTAGAGGGTGAATTGGCATGAATCGCTTGGCCCTGCCCAGTAGGCACTGCTGCCTGCCCCTCTTGCACAAGCGAAGATAGAGAGACGCCCATCCAGATACACGTTGGCCTTACAAGACTGTTTCAATACCGAATAAGAGCGGCTTTTCTGCGACTCTCCGGACCTCCGTTCTACCTCCCCCCCCCCTAATTACCGGCCTCATCTATCTGTGTGACGACGGAAGAATTAACGTGTTTTTTGTACAGATCGGCAAGAAGAGAGCTCCCGCCGGCTTCGATCACAACGCCTCCGAATCGGACTGCAACTCCTCCTCCTCCGATGGCAACGAGGACGAGGACGAAGATGAAGACGACGACGATGACGGAGACATGGAGGTCTACCCCAACCAACAGCAGCCGATGGCGTTCCCCCTGTCGGCCCCACCTCCGTTCGACGTCGGAGAAGCCGCCGACTTCACCCACAATGGAAGACAATCGGCAGGGCCCGCTGCCGCCGCCGCTGCCGCCGCTCGCGGTATCTGCAGACCCATCGTCGCCAACAGCGGCGGGACCAATAACAGCAAGCACTTCGCCGCTGGCGATTCTTCGTCCGGTGGCAGCGGGATCACGCGAGGAGCGAACGACGTGGGCACGACCGCCGCCGCCGCCGCCTTCTCCAACGCCACCGCCGCCGCCGCCGCCGCCGCCGCCGCCAATGCGATAGCCTCAGCGAGCGCCGCCGCCACCGCCGCGGGAACCTTCGCCGCCGGCGTGCTCTCCTCCTCTTCCCCGCCCGGCGACGCCACCGACAATGCAGGGAGGCCGCCGCTGGCGGCGGAAGGCGGCGGAGGGCGGGAGGACCAGCTGATGCGGTCGATCTTCGGTCTCCTCGGGGGGAAGCCGGCCCAGAGGGGGGGCTTTGAGCCTGCACGGAGACACTACCTCTACGGCAGGGATGGTGGTGGCGGCACTGGGGCTTTCGCTGGATCCAGGGTAAGCGTGACGGTGGAGGGGGTTGCTCGCGTGCTCTCTGGCGCTTCGTCCGTACAGCCTTCTTCAATTGTATTTGGCGAAATGCGAGCGAATGGTTGGTTGTTGCTGTTGCTGTTGCTGTTGTTTGGCGCAACGTTGGTTGTGTGCGTGGTGGGAACGATAATTTCCCTCCAGTCTTCCGCCCAAGTCTTGAGAGCACACCCAGCATGAGTAATCCTCATCCAGGGGTTTCTCTCTTCCCCTTGCTGCACTAAAGGTTTTCCTAGCGAGTATTGCATTCGACGAAACCCTCGTTTGAGACCGTCTTGTCTCTTCCCCCCCCCCCCCCCCCCCCCCCCCCCCCCCCCCCCCCCCCCCCCNCCCCCCCCCCCCCCTCCCCAAACCCGCGTGAGGTTTGAGGTAGGAAACGGTGTTTGATTCCGTTCGCCCGAAATTGTTGGGGTGGGCTCACTGCGGGTAAGGCTAGGTCCGACCAGAATAGGTCTTCAAACGTGACGCACAACTGTAAACGTTGTTAAACCGAAGGGTGTTTTGTTGACTGCTATTGTCGGGCACGTGTGGTTTGTCGAGTGTTCGTGCGCGCCCCGCCCCGCAAGCGGCAAGCGGGCTAAACAAATCGCCAACAACCGCTCGCTCGTGCTCCGAAAACATTTCGCTACTTGTCAGATACCGGCAGCCGGCAACAAAAACAAGTGGCCGTCCGAGGGTTTCCTCAATCTGGACTCGGTGGCGTTTTCCCGAAACGGCAGCAACAACGCTCCGGCAACCGGGGAAGGGGCCGTCATGGACGAGGCGAGCGCGGCGGCAGCGGCCATGTCTTCCTCGTCGTCTTCCTCGGTTCCACAAGGGCGGGTGCTCGAAGNGGGGGGCGGGGGTCGGGGGCGGGGGGACCGCGATTCTGCCGCAATAAGCATGGCCAAGAAGTGCATCGAAGAGGTAATGTTGCTGCTGTAAGAACAATTAATACCTGTTTACTAGACGTGTAGCACAAGATAATGTTGACAGAACCACAAAGTGTATGAATGTGCGAAACATTTTCTCCTCCATACATCAGGTGGATAGAGGAGGCCCGGCCTGCGAATACCCTTTGTTGACTGAATGAAACGATGGTGGATTGGTGGGGTACCGCTTTCTTTGACGTAGGCGATGTGACGCTGCTCAAGAAATGGCAGGGAGTTTGGGATGCACGCCGTATATATTGTCGGAAGATTTGAACCGGCTAGAGTATCGAGTGCCCCCCCCCCACCCCGCCCAACCGGCGAAGACCCGGCGATATGGCCCCGTCCCGGCCTGGACGGTTGCGTGGTCTACGGTCTACCGATTGCGGCATGCCTGCAGATGAGTATATTCCCCCGCCACCCCCCATCGCCGAGGTTCCGAGGTATGTGTCTTGCCCTTCGCCGCCCACGTTCTTGCCATATGGCACGCATGGGTCCTTCAGCAACAACCAACCACGTCCGTTCTGCCTACTACGTCCCCTCTGTCCTGTCATAACCACCTCCCTCCCCACCCTCGGAAAATGCCCGCCAGGAAATGGAAACCTTCCGGCAGTTCCAGCAGGTCATGATCGCGGGGGGGGACACGAAGTCCGTTCAACAAAAGGTGGGTTGTCTCCACCGCAGTGTCGACAAATCAGGTTACAGCCGGACACGTGTGCATAACGACTCTACGGCAGAGGCAGTGCCGAGCCCGGTGGCGGGAACGAATGGACGTGCACGTTGGGGTGTGAGTCAAGCTTGCAGATGACCAACGCAAGCCATCCGCGCGTTGGTAGCAGTGCCTAGCAGACGGAGGTGATCGAAACAGGCTAGGACGACTGATGGTGCGGACGATCGCCACCGCAATGGAAATGAACCTACTACCCGAACATGTGCTTCTTCCATGCCTTGAACAACCCAAACGCGCACGTCATCAACACATGGCTCGCGGAACAGGAGAGGGAGGCCTTTTCCCAGTTGTACAGCTCGCTTCCCGCGTTGGCGGCGGGTCAAGATGGCGGTCTGGCCATGTCCAAGGCCGGAGCCGCGGTGCCGACGAGGAAGGCGGCGATGGAGATTGGGGCCGGCGGCGGGGTCGATGTTCGGGAGGGGCAGGCGTCGGTGAGCGATAGGAGTATTCGTAGCTGGGTAGGTTGGTCCGGGGTCAAGCATGCTGTCCAATGTTGCTGGTGATGTAGTCGCTGTCTCGAGTACAGGCAAGCTGTCCTGATTGTTGTTATTGTTGTTGTTTTTGTCATCGTCGTGTCGAGTTCAAGCATGCTGTCCGATGTTGTCGTCGTCGTTGTCAGTGTCCTGCCGTTCCGCTCGCGAAACCAAGTAGATATCGCTTTGTGCTGCTCGGGAAATCGTGGAAATACAGGTATCCTTCGCTGACGCAATGGATTCATTGCTTATCTACATATCTTAGGCTCTTTTCTTAGATAGAGATGTGCAGCCCCTCTACAAGAGGTTGAACCGGTGTGTATCCACACCACGCATCCCAAGGGGATTTTGTCCACACGTGAACCTGGAGGCATTCTTCGTCTCATAGTGGATTCGTTTGGTCATATTTTAGGAAAAAAAAAAAAAAATCAACCACGAACCCCTCGCGCTTGCGCCTTGAAATTCACAGGCGATCACCGAGATCTGGAGCAAGGTGGAGATCAAGGAAGGGGAAGCCCCCTCCCAATCTCCCGCTCTCCCAGGAGTAGCCCCCATGATGAGGCAAGGCGTCGGCACGCGGTCCCTCGCCGCGGCCGTCGCCGGCGGCGCGGGGGGCGGCGGCCCCTACGTTTCCCTCAACCGGCACCAGTACCACCGCCAGAACCCTCCTCGCAGCGCCGTAGGCGGCAACATGAACAACAGCAGCAGCAGCCAGGCCGGGGGCGGGTATATCAGCACTCAGCCTTACCACCAACCGGC